CAAAATTTCGAATTTCTTGTGTTTTGATTTTAAAAATAGCCTATTATATTACAAATTTTGTTAAAGTTATGATTAATTGGTAACAGAACTTCGTGTCGTCCAATTCGGTCCGTAATCATACTCGTGATCAAACAAATCGGACTCCCGCTACGCGGTCGTCCGATTTTGTTAAACACTCGTATGATTACAGACCGAATTGGACTCCATTCAGTCCTGTTACCATTACTTATCGCTCAGTCACTTGAGACGACATGAAAATTTATCGTAATTAGGTGTTTATAGTCAGTAACGCATGTCCTACTCATACAAATGATAAATGGGCTTTCCGGCGAGTTTTTGCATGATACAGTCCAGCCTCCTATACCCTTTTTAGCCGCAATATCCAAGTGCCAAATTCCCTACACTGATCTCTGGTCACATTTATTTATTTTTATAAACGGTTCGTTGGTAAAATTTGTTTGAAGACTATTGCTGGTTTTCAGTGTCACGCCATTCAAAATAGACCAAAATAAAAATCAAAACCGTTCAATAGGTGGTTTTCATGCAATCTCGGGAGACACAAATAACAATGGTGAAATGAACAAATACTGGTGGACAAACAAAGCGAACTAATGAGCGATCTTTTGTTTACCGTCCACCAGCATGGCGGCGATGACGTAACGTGAAAACCACCTATAGATAAAGTCCAGAATCTGGGAAATGAAAGGAGGTACATGTACAAAGACCCTCGCCAAGATTCAGGTCAGAGGAATATTTCGTATACGAGATATCCGAAGAAAGGTTTTATTTAAACTTGTAAAGATTTGTATGGAGACGCCATACTGGTGCTCACCTGGATGAGCTCCAACATGGCGGACGGAAACCAACAGAAACATCTGTTACCGAGTTTTGCTACAAAAGCGTGAATTTATTCTTCGAGAAACTCAGAAACATTAAAGTAGTACCTTTTCTAAAACATGAACTGTTTAAATAGCAAAATTTCCTGAAATAAGTCATTTGTTTAACCTACATGACAGCTCTCTTGGCCGTCACGTAAATGCCGCGTCACGCAAAAGCTTAGAAGCGTAAACACAAAACCAAGAACCCTTTTGAAGCGAAAATTTGTATGTAAATTAGTTTTCAGCTGCTCTAATGCATCGTGAAAGTAAAATCCCGGTAGGATCGATATTTTTTTAGTTTGGATTTTAGTGACGTCATGTGGAAAACAACAGCAGCATTTTTCCCTCAGGAAATCACTTTCTTAATATCTATTGATATTGATCGGAGAAAGTTGATTGTTGTCACTACTAAGTGGAAACCGGTTGGGACTAGAGGAGGAGTCATCACGTCACCAAATGATGGAGGGGTACCCGCCTTTACAACCATGACACAGCTGTAATTAAAAGTAGTCTGCGAAAGAAGATTAGATCTGAATAAATAACTAAATAAGGCCTATTTTTTTCTCATCCCCTAATGGTAAGGTCCTTTAGGAGATTGTCACCGGGTTCAGGGAGGTTTCTGTTTACAGTGTAGTATTTACGCAGTCAACTCCTCTTATAGTGGGCACTGCAGTGTAGGGACCTCGAGTTACTGTCCTCATTAGCGAGAGTCCGTAATAACGCAAGTTTATTTCTGTCAAACATCTGTTTTTTGTTTTTTTTTGTTTTCTGTTTTGTCTGGGATTAAGCTGTTATCCGTATTATCGCCGTGTGACTGTACATTCTAACTTCAGTTTCCTTGTTATGTGAAGTGTTATGCTTTGACTTGTAATTAAGTAAATCAAGAAATCGTGCGAAGTTTTACCTTTATGACCAAGTGAGAGACCTGACTTTGAAAAGAAAAGAAAAAAAAAGGAATTGCTTTCTGCAATGCACTGACAATTATACAATTTTACATCAAACTACTGTCTCATAATAATTAACTCGAAACAGAAAACGTTCTCTAAAAAAACAGGATATATTTTCCTGCCGAACTATTACGTTTCATTAAGCAAGAATTACGTTTTCATTTTCAACTGAGAGACCTACCTTTGAAAAACAATATAATAAAATAAAGGAAAGGTTAAACAGCATTGCTCTTAAAAACAAAAACAGGATATATTTTACTTACGTTCTTTGCATTTGTATTGATTTTGTGGCTCTGAAGCATCCTTGGAAAAAGGAAATAATTATGTCTCAGTGATTCACGGATCAATCCTCCTGAATGCCTTAACTGTTTTGTGTCAGACACGTCATGACGACAGTTATAATTAATTATCATTGTGTTCCGTGTACAAAAAGACCTTTGACTTGCAGTTGTGTTCAGTGTGTTTTAATTCCTCAACCTGATCGAGTTGCTGAACGGTCGACTAAGGGTAACGTACCGCTGATGCAGTCCATTATCTCTCCACGTAAGTTAAGCTCTCAGTATAGTTATTAGGGAGTTTAACATGCCACTATGGCGACGGCATCGAGAACGTCAAAAAGCAATTCGTTAAGATTAGCAAAACAACGTGGATCACGCTTTTTTTGTACATTTCTTTGCCGTCACTGCACGACTACGACGTGAATTGCTTAATTTCACGTTTTATCGACAACGTGAACATACGACGACGAATCTCTCTACTCTTGGATATTTTTCTTAGGAATTCAACTCCAGGAGTGTTCGCCTACATAACGCATAGTGACCGAGTTGGGATAATTGCACTAAAGTTTCATAGATCGAGAAGTCACTTTTTAAGCGACGTTTTTGCCGCCGTCGCCGTCGTGGTATCTTAAACTCCCTATTAATAGCCTGCGAGCAAGCTCTCCTATTTAAGCAAGCGATGAGAGCCTCGCGAGAACGCGCGAGCGAGAGGCCGAGGAAAGGAGAGCTTGCAACGACCTCTCATAAATTCTCATTTCCACTCCGGAAACCCCGGGACTCCGTAAAGCGTGAAAACTGTAACCGCAAACGTGCTGCAGATTAGAAAAGTGACAACCGCCTGTCAAGTAAGTTTGGACAGCAGAGGGCGCGTAGAATTATTTTAATTAAATTTTTTTTTTAATTAAATTTTTTTACTGTTAGTCAGTGTTTCAAAACAAAAGCTATTGTTTTCATCGGTGATCCTTTATTTGCGGTTTGATGAGCGCTTTTTTCCGCACGGCTTGCATGATAGTTTATGTAACACGATTGTCGTCAGCTCATTAACAAACTTGGTTATCTATCTCTTGCTTTGTTACACGATATATTGTGGTATTCCTTGTAATGTGGTCATGCCTATAAAGCTTTCTTTTTTAAAACGTGTTTTTGAATGAAAGAAAGTAATGGAAGTTCACTGCTTAATTGAGAGATGACATCACGTGTCGATCACGTGTGTCGTCAACGTCCGTACCTCCTCTATCGACTTAAGTGACTAACTTCTGCTTGTATCGCAGAAACAATTATCTTTCGCATAAAAGTATAGTGCAACAGCATTTTTAAGGGAAATATTTTTTCAAGGGAGGCGGGGGTTGTACCCAACAAAGTTGAAAAAAATAAACGGAAATTGGAGGGGAATGACAAGCACCCCCTGGCGTGGAAACCCCAGGGGGATGGGAGTCTAAAACAAAAGTACCCTCAGTGGGGGGGGTATGGATATTTTTGGAACTGCACAATAAGAGACATCTATGCACATTAGCACGGAGTTAACTACGAGAGGGAATATGAAAATACATCTTTCAGAGATAGATATATCTACCTGGATTTATGAAAACCGGGTTAGGAAAAAAAATTAGAATTTCTCTCAACTTCCCCTGTCTTAGCTTATTAACTCAGTTGTTTGCTTTGGCATTCTTTGTAATTGTTTTGTGTAGAAGTGGCTGTAGACAGAATTTCTTTCCCTTTTCCCTCCCATGACGCCCTGCTCCCGCCGCGCGCGTTACTTGAAGACGACTGGGGACGAGTCAGGCACCAGGCGTACACACGACAAGAAAGTTGTATATTGTATATCACACGTGTGCGAGGAAAGCTGTTGAGGAATGTCTGAACCCCACCCAGTTTGCTTACAGGCAAGGGGGTAACTCTACGAACGCATTAATATCTGTTCAACATCATGTTTATAAATATTTGGACAATCAAGACTGTAAGGCAGTTCGTATCTTTACGATTGATTTTAGCAACTGCATTCGATTCAGTTAACTACAGTTTACTCTCTGCAAAACTAATTAATAAGCAGCTACCGCTAAACCCCTACATAGTTAACTGGTACCACAGTTTTTTGCATGAACGACAACAGCGTGTTTTATTTGGTAACCATGTTTGTACTTGGCAGGCAGTCAACAAAAGAAACGACTTAGGGAGGTGTTAGCGGCCTTTACCTCCTTAATGTTTTTCTTGATGATTTAAATATTTTTCATAATGTCGTTCCTGCCTTTTTAAATATGCAGACGACTCCACTAGTACAGCCCCTGTAAGCAGTAATTCTGATCCGTCTGACCATTTAGAAGAACTATTTTTAAATTGGTCTAGAGAGAATAATATGAGTTGTAACCCTACACTGCACGAAAAATTGGATTTACTCACATTTACTAATGAGCAAATATGATGCAAACGCGGTGCAAATGTGTGGCAAACATGGTAAATGCCGTATTTACTTCACTTTTACATAGGGCTTGTAAATGTGTGAGTAAATACGGCATTTACCATGTTTGCCACAAATTTGCACCGCGTTTGCATCATATTTTCTCATGAGTAAATGTGAGTAAATCCAATTTTTCGTGCAGTGAGCTAGCAAATGCAAGGAGCTCGTTGTTAGGAAGAAGAAGAATAACACGCATTATGTGTATGGAGCGTCTGAATCAGATTTGAATATTATACAACGTTTTTTGGATCGCTGCCACAAGCACCGCTTTGTCTCTTCTCCCGTTCCTATTAATGATCTTTTTTATGACTGCAAGATTTTAAAGGCTATTAGCTCTGTAGATAGCCATCCACTAGGCTCGTATTTACCACCAACAAAGGAGAATAAATATGATCTGCGTAAAAAACAGTGTGCCCTCCCCAAGGTTAATGCCGAACGATTTATGACATCTTATGTAAATAGATTGATTATTAAACACAAGATAAGGTAGTTTCTACGTAGCATTTTATCATCCATTTGTAGTTTAACTAGTTTAATTTTTATTGAGTGTATAGGCAACTAGAATGTAATAAAAGATATCTACTTTTATCTTTTGGCAATAAAGACTATTATTATTATTATTATTATTATTATTATTATTATTATTATTATTATTATTATTATAAGTTGAAAATTAGACGCCTTGTCCTTGTCCGGTGCCAAGATCGAGGTCATTCGACTCTGATTAATTTTTGTCTGATGATCTGATGTTTGTTTCGAGGTCTTTTCTTGCTTTTTCGATCATCCCTCGATTGATTCAACCAAGAAGATGCCACAGCATCTGTTTGAAAAGGATGTTTTTTAAAAATGTTTCGCCTCGATCAAGCCTCTTAGCGCATCGAGAAGGTCCTTTCAGCGGATGTTACTGAGTAACATCCCTTGAATGGCCCCGGATCAAATGGCATTCATGAAGAATAGCAAATAAAACTGAAATGAACCGCTGCCTCATTTAACATTTTTTTCAAATATTGGCAGGAAAATAAAAAATAGAGAATTATCCATGTTTGTAATGTCTGTCTCTGCCGAATATTAAAATGAATGCTTGCAACAACAACAACAACAACAACAACAACAACTTTATTTGTACTCTACCTTGATTTACATAGAGTACAGGCTAGGGCAGCCTTACTTAGGTTATTAATAAATGATCATATTAAAAGTTAAGGTACCGCACACCACACACACCTACACAAAACATCCACAAAAAAGTAGAAAAAGAAAGCTTAGTGTACCAGTATTAAACAACGGAAAGCCAAAGCTCGCGCTAAGTTGTCTGAACATTTATATTCTGTTTCATCGGCTGAAGAAGCGGAATTAGCCTACAAGCTAATCGAAGATTTTGAGACTCAAAATACCGTTAAATTTTCCTGCTACAAGGACTACAAGGCAAGCAAAGGCTTTGGAGGCACAGGGGAGTAGTAGCTATATTATGATACAATGGCGGACCCAGACCTTCAGATAAGGGAGGGGGGGCGGTCATCAGACCCTGAGATAAGGGGTGGGCCTGGTCTGCAAAAAAATGGCACCACATCACATATTAATAACCACTATTAGCTTATATAATAAACAATTTCATCGTTATTTTGGCTTAAAAAATGCTTAATTTTGTGTACTTTCGGTTAGATAATATTTACTTCCGGTCAAAATGGCGGCCAGTTTAATTTTAACTCCAAAAACCAGTTTAACAGGAAAAATATGCGATGGCACCATATCACATATTAATAGTCATAATTAGTTCTGTCATTCCTGAAAATTTGGTGCTTTTAACAAAAAGTGAACATTCCGGCCCCAAATCTGCACATATCCGTCCCACTATATCAAGTTGGTGTCCGCCTTGACAAGCAAGGATATTCGAGGCGGGGCAATGCGTGAAAAATATCAAAATAGAGACTAAGGCTATTAACATTATCAATCTCAGCAGAGGCCTGATTCAGCTCAGAGGCTAGGGCAAATTAAGAACAAGGAACTTGCCAGTCAAAGCCTCTAGTGAACACTGCTGCTTACTGAAGGGGTTGTGTTAAAATAGCCCCCTCCCTACCCCACTAATTTTGCCCCCCAGCCCTGATCCACCTACCCACTGTTAGGGCAGTCCCTGGGCTATCCAGCTAAACGAGGGTCTCAATGGGGTTAACCGATAGGCGTAAAACGGCCAAAAATTTAGTCGATAGCCGTAAAAATTGAGAAATTTTAACCGTTAGCCGTAAACAGGGTAAAAAAGAGTTAACCGTAAAATAAACTGTTCCCTAGAGTTGCTACTTTTAAGCCGGTACTTAACTCACTTATGGTTGCGTTTTTTATTTCCCGGCTAGTGTGATTCCGTACGCACGTTAGGCGAAGCGCGTTTTAGGTGTTGACCAAGACCTAGGCTCCATTTCCGCCACTCTCTCGAGGAACTAATTTTTTCCATAGGGAAAGTGTGGCTTCCTGCTGGGAACAAGAGCCATAATGGGACTCTTGCTGGGGATTAATATTTGCGATTTTCAGGAGGTCGTGCCTTCGAAACACTAGTGAAACAACACGCAGAGATGTCACTGTTTGTAAAACACGTTGCCGATAAACAACGTATCCCTGTTTTTCTCTGACGTTACGGTAGACATTGCCATGCCTAGTCCCTGTGCGGCGTCTTCCCACGCAATCTCGGTCAAGGCATTTCGGTGGCGAACTCGCTAGGACCACGTGACCCGAGACGCATTAGCCGCGCGGAATAATGTGGCCTACGGACAAGGCAACGGCAGACAGTCGTTCCGTACAGTCCTTAGCTATCATTAAAAACACTGGACACGGCAATTTTGTTATTAACCGGTTTCACGCTAGAGTTAGAAATGGATTATCCGTCTGAGACTAGCTTGTGTACAGTCGCGCCCTCCCCACAGACACAGGTTAATTAATAATTTAATATTTAA